TGCTCCGAGCGGCTTGTGGGTACTCTTGTGATTACTTGCGTGGGAGGGGAGGGGAGGGGAGGGGGCAGCGATTACTTACAAACTGATTTATTTTCAGTTTTTTTTCCAATACTTTTTTTCTTGTATGTGGGTAAGGTTCCTATGTTTTGTTCGTTTGTCTTTTCTTTCACCCTTTTTATTTCCTTTGGGACCGGACAACGATTCACTACCGGAAGCATAAATTCAAGTAAAATATATCACATATCATTTCTAAGTATCGTAATAACTGTGTTCTTTGCGACGTGCTCTTCACTTCTACAAATACCATACTTGTTCCGCGTCAAGAAAAAAAAAAACATCAACCGTAATGACGAATAAATTAGAATATAATCCGATGTCTTGGAAGATCAGGTGGAAGAGGAAGTCCCTTTTCTCAAGCCACCAAACACGCCCACACCTGCAAAGAAATTAAAATAAACAATAACATATCAATAAAGTATATCCATGTTCTTAGGATTAAGCATTGACAATCAATACATAAATGATTACAAGGTCTAAATACTTATTTAGACCTTGAGCGATTAGGCCCTTGGAAACCATGGAGAGCCCCGTGCTTTCAACGAGTCCACAGCACCCTGCGTCGAAACCATACACCCGGGCGTTCATTACAGGCACACGTACACGCGCACAGATTCACATACATGCGCACACCTAACACACCCACAGTCCACGACATCTAATCCGCGAGGAGGCCCCCATGCCACGATTCGCTGGTGCTGTGTAACTTTCAGCGCGAACTATTAACATATCTGCGCTGTCTCTCTCTTCCGGTTTCTTCATGCTTACGTTTCTGCAGCTCTCTTGCTCGACATCTCTCTCTCTCTCTCTCTTCTGTCATGTCTCGCTTTCTCCATCCTTACGCTCTTCTCTCCCTGTTTGTCTTCTTGTCTCCTCTCCACATTTACCTTCTTCTCTTTTTTTTTCTCCCTCTCTGTCTCCCTGTCCCCTCTCTCCCTTTCCCTTTTCTCTCCCCTCCTCCCTCCAACCTCTCCTCGCCTCACGACACGCGCAACTGACATGACAACTTGCCTCGTGTACACGACATGCACTCGCTCTCCACTGCCAAGGACAGCACGACCTTGACGCTGCCCCCACGACTCCGCTCCAGTCGTCGCCGAGATACAGGGCATCAAGAGGCAGCAATCGGCGGTCGTGTGAACATACACATGCGTACACACTTTGAGAGGTTGATGGTTTATGAAGGTATGCAGTTATGAGATGAGAGGATGAGAGGATGAGAGGATGAGGGAGAGCGCTTGGGAGCTATGGAGAAAGAAAGGGAAAGGGGGAGAGGGAGAGAGCTTGGGAGCTAGATAGATAGATAGATAGATAGATAAGAGAAAAAAAATCACCTTGCCAGTCTTTATCAGTCAGAGGCACAGACAAGCAAAGACCCGGGTTTTCTCTCCCCGTTTTATCAGCGCCATCCTCTGCAGCGACACCACGTGATAAGAACCCAAACAGCGAACTCGCGACCGACCGACGGACCGACCGACGGACCGACCGGCCAGCCCCCCTCACATGCCCCTTGTCATTTCCATCTCTCGCGTCCCTCTTCTCCGCGTTCCCTCCGACACTCCCACATCACCCCCCCCCAAAAAAAAAAAAAAAAAATCCACAAGCCCCCTGATTCACCGTTTTCTGGTCACGTGTTCGGAGCTTACTAGGAAAAGTGATGTTTTTAACCCGTGACGACAACCGGGGCGGATCCGCTTTGTCGGCTATTGTTTGTCTCTCGTTTTCTTTTTTTCTTTTTTTAGGGGAGACTGAGTTGAATCTAAAAGCGGATGAAATTATGCAATTCAAGATGATAATTACCTGCAGGGCTGGTGATGATGATAATGATGATAATGTTCATGCTGACGACGATGATAAGCATTAACTCCCCATGGCGATGAGGACGACGACGACGAAGACAATAAACGATATAATTATTATTACCATTACGGTGATGGTGATGACGGTAATATAACCACCACATATAAAAGACTGTTTCTTTCAACACCAAGACCTCTTTTCAGGAATCTCGACGAAGGTCACGAGATCATGAATCAGCGTCCGGTAGTGTATTTCTTTCTTTCTTTCAACGGCGCAGGAATCCCAATTGAAACGTGAAAAACAGTGCAATGGTTGGGGGGGGGGGGAGGATGGGAGGCAGGGAGGGAGGGGGAGAGGGGGAGGGAAGAGGGGGAGAGAGGAGGGAGGAGAGAGGGAGGGAGGGGAGGAGGGAGGAGAGAGGGGAGGGAGGAAGAGAGGGGAGGGAGGAAGAGAGGGAGGGAGGGAGGGAGGGGGAGAGGGAGGAGGGAGGAGGGAGGGAGGGAGGGAGGGAAGGGAGGGAGGGAGGGGGAGGAGGGAGGAGGAGGAGGGAGGGAGGAGGGAGGGAGGGAGGGAGGGGGGAGGGAGGGAGAGAGAGAGAGGAGAGAGAGAGAGAGAGAGAGAGAGAGAGAGAGAGAGAGAGAGAGAGAGAGAGAGAGAGAGAGAGAGAGAGAGAGAGAGAGAGAGAGAGAGAGCGAGCAACAAAAAAGGACAAGAAATGACGATAACCAATGCACCCGCCTCACACACACACGTAAAACATTACCAAACGCCTCGTGAGACAAGGACTACTGAACTTTCCACCCCAAAATTATAATCCTGCTTCCCTCACCCCGACACACACTTACACACACACTTACACACACACACACACACACCACACACACACACACACACTATGTAACGAGAATGTACATACAAGCGCATTCCTCCACCAACGCTCTTGCTTCAAAAAACGCATGTAAGCGTACTGTCTGTATATATATGTCTGTATATATATATATATATATATATATATATATATTATATATATATATATATATATATATATATATATATATATATTTAAAGAATGCATTTCCTTGCAGATCTCATTTTCTATGAAGAATCACACTGACAATGAATCGTTTTAGCTCCATCCTCGACCCTTGAGTCTAAAATCTTGCTTCAAACACATTTACGTGTACCACATACATACATACATACACACACACACACACACACACACACACACACACACACACACAGTGTGTGTGTGTGTGTGTGTGTGTGTGTGTGTGTGTGTGTGTGTGTGTGTGTGTGTGTGTGTGTGTGTGTGTGTGTGTGTGTGTGTGTGTGTGTGTGTATGTGGGTGTATGTGTGTGTTTATGAATGGACTTCCTTGCAGATCCCATTTTCTATGATGAATCACACAGACAATGACTCCTTACAGCTCCATCCTCGACCCGCACGTGGATCATGCTCGAACCAAAACCTGAATCAAATGGTTCCTTTGCGGTGGCCAATTCACCCATGAATTTTCACAACAAAACTTTTACTGCTGTTTGCCTTAACTGAGTGACCAACCATTTCAGCTAAAAATAGATACCTGTGTTATTAAATAGACGGAGCCGACGATAAGGTTGAATTAATCATTAACCATAACATCCAAGCTATGAACCGTATTCGTAATTGCTGGTCACTTCTGTGCACTGTTTCTACTCAGAAATTGTCACCGGCGGCGTGAAGAGCGAAACACGAATCGGCGTCCGCTCCTCTGACGACCGCCGGGTGCCACGGGCGTTTATGCGAATGAAACGTTAGAAAAGACGTCAATGAACACACACACACACACACACACACACACACACACACACACACACACACACACACACACACAACACACACACAGAGCTCGGTATCAATTTTGACCAAGCTTACAAATTTGTCTTCTTTCGTTTAAGCTCAAGCGCGCCAGTGGCCCTGACCCGTGCTATGCCCTAGTCTTGAGGTCCAGATATATGTTTCCGCGGACAACGCAGCGGTCCCTCTGGAATCCAAACGACGACTGCAAGAGCTTTGGGAACTCTGAAGACCGAACTTGCTCGCTTACTCTGCCGGTCAGTGATAGACTCCCCCTTTCGATCACAAATTGCCTTTGCGTCAGTCGACAGCAACCCTTAACTGTTGAGTACGGGTGAGAGAGAAACAGATACAGAATTAAACAGCGTGTGTGGAGATAAACCACTGGGGATGACGAAATCAGTTCCAACGCTTTACCTGTTTTCATGATTGAGATGATAAGCACGTGGGAAATCAACATATTCACAATTCCAATGAAATGGTTGTTCGGGCGGTGTGGGATCAACCTCGCCCGCGTCATCCAGTGGCTGGGTAGGAAAGGAAGGACAGTGGGAGGAGAGAGATGAGTAAGACGAGGGGGAAGGATTGGAGCAGGGTGAGGAGGAGGTGAGGAATGATGGAGATTGAGTGTTCGGGGGGAGGGCATGGGAGTGGGAGAGAGGGAGGAGAAGAGATGGAGGCGGGGACAATGTTGAGTGTGGAGAGGGAAGAGGTAGAGAGAAGAGAGTGTGACAGGGGAGTGGGGGAGGAGGGAGCACGTGGCGGGAGCATACGTGAGGTAGGATTAGATGAAGAGAGGGTGGATGAGGGGTCTTTTGTGGAAGTGGAAAAGTGGTGGATAAGGAGCACGGGTATTTTAACTTTGAAAGGTAGGCGACGGTGTAGTGGAGTGAGGGGACGGAGGCGGGGGAGTAGTGGAGGCGAGAGAGCGGAGGGGGGGAGGGTAATGGTGAGGGCGAGAGAGATGAGAGAAGTGATGGAGATGCATTGAGGAGAAGAAAGAGAGGATGTATGAGAGAGTTTGATTGAGTATGCTAGAGAAGAGAGATTTCGAGATAGATGATCTGAGATGGATGAGAGACTGACTCCTCTGGAGAGAGCAGAAGTATGCGGATATCGAAGCCTCTCCCTACTATGCGTCATGCCTTTAGATTTGGCGCTTTCCTCTGTGTGAGATTCGAGATCGAGTGAGAAAGTATTATTGTTTGTTTTTTAATGCTAGAGAAAGAGATGAGGGAGGAGTCGGAGGATTTGAGGAGGAGGGAGGGAGACAGAGTAGAAGGAGGGGATAGGTAAGGCGGAGGGAGGTGAGGTGAGGGAGGGGAGGGATGGAGTGGGACGGAGGAGAACATGTTGAAAGGTAGGAGAAGGAGGGAAAGGTGCGGTGAGGGAGAGCGTGATCTGAGGGAGAGGGAGAGGGAGAGGGAGAGAGAGTAGACGAGATGAGGTAGACTTTATGTGGATTACGATGATACAGATGAGATTTGCTTTGTGAGTCTATGTTGTTACGAAGCTGAGACTCGAGAGAGAGAGAGGAGATGGAAAGGAGTGAGATAGGAGAGGATGGCGAGAAGGATGGTACGGGATGGGATTGGTGGGAGGCGTCGTGGGATTATGAAGTATGAAGAAATGGGTTAGGGATTGGATTGAGAGAGGAGGGGAGGAGAGGAGATGAGAGTAGAGAGGAGGAGGATGGAGGAGGGGGAGGGTACTGTGCGTTTATTTATATTCGTGGGAAGC